AAATAATATAAATAATTACACTGATTGATTTTCACTCTCTTTTTTGAAGAAGATTTTATTTATTCATTTGAGAGAGAGCACAAGCACAGGGAGGGGCAGAGGGAGAGAGAAGCAGATACTCCGCTGAGCAGGGAGCCCACCACAGGGTTCAAATCCCAGGACCCCAGGATCATGAGTTGAGCCGAAGGCCATCACTTAATGGACTGAGCCACCCAGGAGCCCCTGGACTGACTGATTTTCTAATGTCAAACCAACCTTCCATTCCTGGAATAAATCCAAATAGTTCATAATTATTTTCTTTATATATTTTTTGATTCGGTGTAATAACCTTTATGTTTAGGTTAAATATAGCCTATAATTGTCTTTTCTCATACTGCCCTTCTCAGGTTTTAATATCTAGGGTTCTCCTCAATACATAACATGAATTGATGTTTCTTCTTTAAGTCTCTGTTCATCAAAAGTATCATTACAGAGCAAAAAGACAAACCACAGAGTAAAAGAATATATGTGCTATTCATATAAATGAAAATCAACAACCATCCAGAGTATTTAAAAACAACAACAAAAACCTCCTCCAAGTCAATTTTTTTTTTAATTTTAATTTTTTTTTTTGGAAGATTTTATTTATTTATTTGACAGCGAAAGAGCAAGCACAAGCAGGGGGAGCAGCAGAGGGAGAGGGAGAAGCAGGCTCCTCGCCGAGCAGGGAGCCCGATGCGGGACTCGATCCCAGGACACAGATCATGACCTGAGCTGAAGGCAGACGCTTAACCAACTGAGCCACCCAGGCACCCGTCCAAGTCAATTTTTAAAGAAACAACTCAACAGGAAAATAAGCAAAAGATTTTAACATACTTCAGAAAAGAAGAAATACAAATGACCAATAAACATATGAAGAGATGTTCAATCTCACTGGTCATCAAAGAAATACAAATTAAAACCACAATAATACTATGTCTAACCAATTAAAAAAATTAATGGGACTGACAATACCAAATACTGGGAAGGGTATGGAACAACAGAATTATACTGCTCACTGGAATACAATTAGTATACCCCCTTTAGAAAGCATTTGGGATTATTCAATAAAAGTGAAGCTATGCTGGGGTGGCTGGATGGCTCAGTCAGTTGAGCAAGCGACTCCTGATTTCAGCTCAGGTCACAATCTCAGGTTTGTTGGGCTCCACACTCAGCAGGGAGTCTACTGGAGATTCTCTCTCCCTCTGCCCTTCCCCCTGCTCGCGTGACTTGCGCGCACTCCCTCCCTCAAATAAATAAATTTAAAAAAATAATAATAATTAAGCGGGGCGCCTGGGTGGCTCAGTCGTAGAGCGTCTGCCTTCGGCTCAGGTCATGATCCCAGAGTCCTGGGATAGAGCCCCGCATCGGGCTCCCTGCTCCGCAGGAAGCCTGCTTCTCCCTCTCCCACTCCCCCTGCTTCTGTTCCCTCTCTCGCTGTCTCTCTCTCTGTCAAATAAATACATAAAATCTTTAAAAATAATAATAATCCCAACAGGCATTATTATACTGACATTGGTAAAATAAAATTTATAAAATAAAATTAATGACTTGATAAAAACACTCATGATTAATATGAAGAATATACAGAAAACAGATACAAATTCATATATCAACTATCCTCTGTCACCACTTTAGAAACAGGCAAAAAACAAACCATTGAAAAGAGAAATATAAAGCATAAACATGCTCTAATAGATATAAATAATATCTTGAAATTGAATGGTACTAGCATTCTAAGGAAACATGTACATTTAACTAAACACAAGCAAAATTCACATCTATCCTGAAGAGCAATTCAGCAATGCATTATCATGAGTAAAAAAGTTGTCAGAAATCCTAGAACATCATTTCAAAGGAAAAACAGAGTTCCTAAAAAGATGTTTATACAATATATTCCTAACCATTAACAGTAGGTATTAAATAAATAAGAGAACAATGTATTACGAACGTTAAAAGTAACTGAATCTAGTATTTTCCAACTGAATTACAAGCTTTATAATCTATTAAAACTCAATCAACAGTTGATGGTAGGAGCCAAAGTTAGTAATTATTTATAAAAGATTTTTTTTAAAAAAAGGAAGGAATAGGGAAGAGTCAGTTCCCAAACTGCATGAGAGATATAGTCCAACAATAACATTACCTATTCTCAGCTTTCTTGCTTTTATTGCCAGGACTAGAGGATCTGGATCGCCGGCCTCGGCTTCTACTCCTTGAGCGTCTCCTGTCTCGACTTCGAGATCTTCTTCGCTCTCGACTTCTGTCTCTCTCTCTACTTCTGGAACGCCTGAAAGGAGGACACTTTTCACTCATTTTATGACCAAGTAGAGTTTCTTTCAGATAATCGTTCTGTCCCATGTTGAAAGAAGCTTCTTTACCATTATTAAAGGCTGAGATTTCAATTAACCATCAAATCAGGTAAAAAGGGAACAAGTAAAGCCAATTCTTAGAAGTGGTTAATGAAAAAAATGAGGATACTAATTCCAAAATGATTATTTGTTGAAAAACATAGCAAATCTGTGAAATAAATCTGTCTTTTTGAAATCTACGCTCTACAGTAGAAAATCTAAATTTCAAAGTCAGCCAAAACCTAAGTATAAGGACGGGTACAATTGGGCTATGGAAAGATCACATATGAAGACTAGGAGACAATTTATATTCTAGAGCTGATAGTGACATGACACATAGGGCAGATCAACTCTCTGGGTCACAGTTTTCTCATCTATATAATACGGAGACTCCACTTAGATAATCTCAAAATCCTTCTTGCTCTAAAACCTTGTAATTCTACTTTCACTCCTGAAAGTCAAAGACCAAATCTTAAAAAAATCAATTTCACTTAACACGTACTTGACTGAATTATATGAAACTGTTCCTGGGACCACATAATATGAAACTAAGCACTATCCACATTTTCATAAATGAATATTTTCCCTGAGTACCATGTAATACCTTTGCAATTTCTCCTTCCAATGTTTGCAAAAGAGTTTTTTCTGTCATCAGCTCACAGCACCTATACAACCTTGTCTTCTTTCCTATTATAGTAAGAAACTTAGCAACTAATCTTTTGGTGTGGGGAAGATTATTTTTATTTACAGACAATGTTCTCCACCTCTAGAAAGGTTATAGCTGCTTGACTCGTGCCAAGGAATATGTAAGCAAGTAAAAGCAAAATAAAAATTAGGAGGTCCTTTTGTTTAAAACAGTTTTTTTTTTTTAAGGGCACCTGGGTGGTTTAGTCATTAAGCATCTGCCTTCGGCTCAGGTCGTGATCCCAGGGTCCTGGGATCGAGCCCCGCATCGGGCTCCCTGCTCGGCGGGAAGCCTGCTTCTCCCTCTCCTGCTCCCCCTGCTTGTGTTCCCTCTCTCTCTGTGTCTCTCTGTGTCAAATAAATAAATAAAATCTTTAAAAAAAAAAAGTTTTTTTTTTTTAAAAGTGTCAAACAGGGACACCTGACTGGCTCAGTTGGCAGAGTACATAACTCTTGATCTTGAGGTTGTAAGTCAAGTCCCACATTATGTGCAGAGATTACTTAAAAATAAAATCTTTAAACTAAATAAACTAATAGAATCTTTTTTAGAAATTAAAAAATGGGGGGGAGCATGCAACTCTTGATCTCAGGGTTTTAAGTTTGAGCCCCACGTTGGATAGAGATTACTTAAAAATAAAATCTTTAAACTAAATAAACTAATAGAATCTTTTTTAGAAATTAAAAAATGGGGGGGAGCATGCAACTCTTGATCTCAGGGTTTTAAGTTTGAGCCCCACGTTGGATAGAGATTACTTAAAAATAAAAAGCTTTAAAAAATACCTTTTTTTTTAATGTCAAACAGCAAGCAGGGCTTTTCCTTCTCCTGTTGGCTTTAGTGGCTGCTCTGAACACAGTGGTCAGCTCTCTTGGGACAGAATTAGAACAGAACCGCCTTGATGACATATTACCTCTGAGAGTCTTTGCTCCAGGCAAAGCACCTCTGGACCTAATCAAACGAGCTGGGGTCAAAGCAGAGTACCCACAAAAGGGCCACTAAATTCCAGTCCAAGTCATACTTTTGAACAAGCCCGACTTAGCTGAGAAGGCCCAATTTATCATGAGTCTTTAGGAGACTAATGTCTTACCTCAGGCGCTTCCGGTCTCTTGACCGAGATCTTCTTTTATCCCTGCTACGAGACCTCTCTCTCCTTCTATCTCTATCTCTGCTTCTAGACCGTCTGTCATCTCCACGTTTACTTCTTTTGTCTGAGGGTGAGCGACTTCTAGAACGACTTCCAGAGCGCCCCCTTGATGCTGATCGCTTCCGATAGTGGCTAAAAGGTTAAGTTTAAGATTAAGTTTAGCAAACACAAGGAGTAGCTTCTATTATATTTTAATCACATTTTCCCAAAAGATCTCAGCAGACAAACAATGACAGGACTTTTATTCATCAACTCTTAAAATTACGGGAAGG